GTCAAAGGCGGCTTCTTGCTACTTCTCTTGATAGCACACCACTTGGACAAACGTAATGATGATTTGTGCTGAGTTGTCGCCGCCTTTCAGTGTTGACGTGGCACATCATAGATATCGGTTCGTCCAGTTATAACCGATATGTTGTATCCGACATGTAGCGGCCGACATGTGATAACCGACATGAGATATCGGTCAAGTAACGGAGATGTCGGTTCTTGCTGAATCTCTCGTTATGCAATCGTCTTGAAGTCCGTGGAGACATCATGTACTTGTACGAATTTTAATTATCCTCACACTGACCATAATCGTCTAATCAACGTTGCTTAACTCGGTTCATTGAAAATGATATCAACAAGTTCGTGACATTGTTTGTGAAAACATACACATGTGACTATCGATTTCACTTCTTGATAGCCAATGAAAATGTAAAGATGGAAAAATAGTCTTTAACGAAACTACATAACAATAATCTATTCTCAAGGATTATATAGTGCAACATAAGGTCCTTTTCACTAGAACACTATGTTGGGGTATCACAACAAACGCAACGGACAAAAATACCCCTCCAACAAATATGGCAAGCACTACTCCAAAATGAAAAATAAGCCAACACAAATAAATAAAAAAGGGGAAAGAAAAGAACACAAAAATTGATAACGGAGTTCGGCGAAAATAGCCTACGTCTCCGGGCACCGCCAACTGCAACGTCAAATTTACTAAACTCACCAACAAAATGCAACTAGGGTTAAATAACCCACAAAATAGGATTTCCTTAATTTAAGGATTTCCTTCTAAATAGGAGAGAATAGAATAAGGTGCAATTGTAACCCAAAGGTAAGAGACCTATTTATACTAAAAAGATCCTACACATCTTTGGTACACATCCGATGTGGGACAACAATTAATAAAAAAACTAACAATTCTCCACCTTGACTAATTTTGCTCCCACTTCCAACTCAACTGCTAGCGGTGCCTCCAAATGCGCCTCTCGGCGCCAACTCAAATATGCAGAATGTTGGTCAAGTCTAAACAATGTTCAAACATGACTGTTGTCACTACCTTGGTCATCATATCTGCAGGATTCTCCGTCGTCTTGATCTTCTTCAACACAACGGTTCCATCTTCTAGAATCTCCCGCACAAAGTGATAGCGAACATCAATATGCTTCGTTCTTGCATGAAATACTTGATTTTTCGCTAAGTGAATAGCGCTCTGACTGTCACAATGCACTAAGACGTGCTTTTGACCAACTCCCAAGTCTTCAAGCAAACTTTGAAGCCAAATAGCCTCATTCACAGCTTCAGTAACCGCCATATACTCTGCCTCTGTTGTAGACAAAACAACTGTTGACTGTAAGGTAGACTTCCAACTGACTGGAGCTTTTGCAAAAGTGAACAAATATCCAGTCGTTGATCTTCGCTTATCCAAATCACCCGCATAGTCAGAATCACAATATCCAACTACACACTGACCAAATTCATTTTGCTCATAAACCAATCCAACGTCTACAATACTATGAATGTACCGTAGAATCCATTTCACAGCTTGCCAATGACCTTTACCAGGGTCATGCATATACCTGCTAACAACACCAACTGCTTGTGAAATGTCGGGCCTTGTACACACCATCGCATACATCAAACTGCCAACTGCATTTTCATATGGGACTCTAGCCATGTACTCTCGTTTTTCATCAATTGGCGACAATTGGGCACTTAACTTCAAATGAGGGGCAAGTGGTGTACTTACTGGCTTCGACTCATCTTTTATGCCAAAACGCTGTAGTACCTTATTCAGATATTGCTTCTGAGTCAAACAAAGCTTGCCTCTCATTCTGTCCCTGCTTATCTCCATCCCGAGAATCTTCTTAGCTTCCCCCAAGTCTTTCATCTCAAACTCTTGATTCAACTGAGTCTTCAATTGATCAATCTCCACTTGGCTCTTTGATGCAACCAACATGTCATCCACATACAAGAGTAAGTAAATGAAAGATCCATCTTGCAGCTTGCGTAAATACACACAATGATCATGTCTGCTTCGCGTGTACTTCTGCCCAATCATAGGCTTATCAAACCGTTTGTACCACTGCCTCGGAGATTGCTTCAGTCCGTACAACGATTTGTTCAACTTACAGACCCAATTCCCTTTTCCAAGAATTTTGAATCCTTCTGGCTGAGTCATGTAGATTTCTTCATCCAAATCTCCGTGTAAGAACGCCGTCTTCACGTCAAGTTGAGCTAGCTCTAAATCCAACTGTGCTGCTAAGGCCAACAAAATTCTAATGGAAGAGTGTTTAACAACTGGAGAAAAAACTTCATTATAATTAACTCCTTCCTTCTGAGCGTAGCCTTTAGCCACCAACCTTGCCTTGTAGCGCACATCATTCTTATGAGGAAATCCATCTTTCTTTGCAAATACCCACTTGCATCCTATCACCCTCTTGCCTTTTGGTAGTTGCATCACCTTCCAAGTTTGATTCTTCTGGAGAGACAACATTTCTTCCTCCATAGCCCATTTCCACTTCTCATTTTCTAAACTTCGAATTGCATCTTGAAAAGTGAAAGGTATGTCATCATCAACAATTGGAAGTGCATAAGCCACCATATCCGCCAATCAAGCAGGTTGTTGAATCTCTCGTTTGGGCTTTCTCAATGCAATGGGTAAATCTAATGATTCATGAGTCTGAACTTCATCATCCGACGAATCGTTTGATATTGTTTCGTCGATCATAACTGGTTGTCTCGTCATCGCATCTATCTCCACCTGCTTCGGTGTCAACTCTACCTGTTGGGTTTAGTAAAATTGGTTTAGTAAAAAAAAAATACTTTATTTATTTGTCTTATTCCATAATAACATCGATTTAGTCAAAAAAAAAAAAATCTCATAAAATCGGTGAAGTCAAAAATTCTACGTAAAGTCTATCTATACTAAAAAAAAGGCAGATTCAAAATTCCTTATGTAATTTCTTCTTTCTTTATATAAAGAGTCGTCCTTTTTATTAAAATTAGTAGCAAAAAAATAGGTCAGCATTAAATGCAGCTCATATTTATTATTATTTTTTTTTATCTTTTATTTAAAAATCATACAATATAATTTATAAATATGCTCTAATATATTCATACAATTTAATTAAAATAATAATTAAATATTGAACGGTGAACGAGAATTAGTAAAACTGTTAATTTCTCTTATATCAAGAGATAAATTTATATGCTAAAATTAAGTTTTTATTAGTATAAATGTTTAAGTGAGATAATATATTAATTATTTTACAAGGTAGCCCTAACATGCACATATTTAATGTTCTGATTAAAAAGACAATGCTGGTTAAAAGATTTGGAAAAAAGCTTATAACCCAATTATTTTTTAGACTTAATGTTGATTAAAAGAGGTAGAAAATAGATAAACCCTATTACTTTTTAGACTTAAACGGACAAGACTGTGAGAATAACTCATTTAATATCTCTGTAAGATGTGGAAAAAAGTTTGTTTTTTAGACTTAACGTTGATAAAATATGTAGAAAATAGATATAACCCTATTACTTTTTAGACTTAAACGGACAAAGCTGTGAAAATAAAAGTTTATAACCCTATTGTTTTTTAGACTTAACGTTGATAAAATATGTAGAAAATAGATAATAACCCTATTACTTTTTAGATTTAAACGGACAAGACTGTAAAAATAACTCATTTAATATTTATGTCCCGTGCATCACACAGCGTACGCACTAGTGTATATTATATGTATTTAATATATGTGTAAAGTAGTGTAAAGTGCATTTATGGAACTCATTAGACCAGCCCATAATTTAATATTTAAAAACGATAAAGATTAATTCCCTCGTGATCATTTGTTCACCTTCCACATTTTCTCCCATTTCCCAAATTCTAATAAAAAGTTAATTAATTTTTACACATTATAAATTAACCCTTTCAACTTTTGTCTTTCTTATTCACCAAAATTCCCGCCTTTTTCTCTCTACATCAATTATTCACTCATTAATAAAATTGTTAATCACTCCCAATAATTTTAAAAATTTCTTAAATATTTTCTTTATTTATAGAAAAATGACCTATTCTAATAATTTATGTTGTTATCGAATTGAAAAAAAAATGGATAAGCAATGAATCATTGACCTCACAACATAGCTCAAATATTGAATGGATAAGTACATACTCATATCAGTTTCGAGTTTTTCATTACTTGTTTTCGTATTGTTCCATTCAGATTGAAATTGAATTTAGTTTAATTGAAGATTTGAAATTGAGACTTATGAACTTATCATAGCTGCAAACTTGAAATTTTAAAATTGGGGCTTATAAATTTATTTAGTTATTTCAATGTTTGGGTTTGAAGAAGTTGTGGGTCTTGCGCTATAGATGAATGGTGCTTTACAAGTTAACTATTATATGCATTGAAAATAATATTACTGAAAACCAAGATTAATGAGATATAATTGATGATTTTGCCTCTAAAAATGCCCCAAGAAGCCTTTTTGAAAATAATTACATTCTTTTTTTTTTCGAAAAGTATCATTTATTTTCAGAGTAAACAGAATACTCGGGCATTATTTTTTGAAAAGTATCATTTTATTTTATCAAGACCGGCTCTGGATGTATGATCTGCATGTATACAACATGCAGATATTGTACCTTTGTTGAGTTCTTTATAAAAAAATTATAATTTCAGAAAAAGGAAAAAAAAAAAAGACAGTCCAATCGAATTCGTAATGTGTGTAAATAAAAAAAAATAACAATAATTATTACTAATTCAAATTTAATCACGTGCGATTAAACATTATCAATTCAAAATTTGCATTGCATGTATTTTTCATTTAACATTATTGCCCACGGGAATAAAAAAACTCAGAAAAAGGAAAGTCCTTGTTATCAATCTGATTTTAACCGAACAATGATTCATTATTTCCACATTTTTTTTTTTTTTTTTTTTTTTTTTTTTGTAGGTCCAATGGCCATTTTGTACAGAAGAAGAATAATTGCTAGAGTGCTGAGTGATGGTGCAAACCACGACCCTTCCATTCACTCGAGTCTTTTCGCTCATTCACCGACCCTTGCGAAGAAGCCACCGTATCCGGGCCGGGCCCCAATCCCTGACCCAACCCGTAAACATGAGCAACCACGCAGTCACCCGACCGCTTGTCGAGCCACGAAAGAATATCCGAGAAGACAATCTCGACGTTCTCATCCGGCTCGCCCGATGTCAAGCCGTGCCACATTCCGGGATAGAATTTGATCGTCTTGTCTACACTGCTCGCTTGTTCATATAAAGCCCGACTAACTTCAGGGTCGGTTACCGTGTCAGCCTCACCATGCAATACAAAGAACGGCATTGTCACCTGTTGGTTTGTTTTATCTTTGTTATTTATAAACACAATCGATAAAATTAATGCTATGTTTGGTAAAACATATAAACTAGTTGATAACTTTCGAGCTTATAGCTATGACTTATAGCTTAAAAACTAGTTTATATGATAGAAGTGTCTGGTAAATTATGTGATGAGCTAGTTGAATAAAAATTTAAATTGACTTATTTGAAAAGCAACCCAAAAAGCAGATTATGAGATGAGCTCGAGCTTTTGAAAAAAATCGTCCTACCTTACTTGTATTACAGAAAGCTCATAAGCTAACCAAATAAACTATAAGCTAGCTTATTTGACTACTAAACATAGCGTAAATATTTATAGATCTCAAAATGATCGAATAGCGTAATAGTGTAATCCTGACCTTGTCCAAGTTCCTCTCGAGGTTCATGCTGGCCCTCAGCAATTCAAGCGCCGTTTTCAGTCTCGGCTTCTCTTGATATATGAATTTGTTGCTCCGGATCTACACGAAATCGTAGCATCACATTATATAATTAATTATAGAATAAATTGGATTTTTGGCGATCAGATTAATATAAGCTTGGCTTGTCATGAACAAATTTTTAAGCTCTCACTTGCCTGTTCTCTTTTCACGGGGTCCTTGAATGCCGAGTCGATGACATCCTTTGTCGGGACTATCTTCCATTTCGGAATTACATCCTCAACACTAGTCAACAGGCTAATAACTACAGGGTGCGGCTTCACCTTCTCCGATATCTAACAAATTGCAAAAAAGAAAAGAAGAAAAAATGTATTAAACAAAATTTAACCAACAATATCGTATACATTCTAGATATCTAATATATAAAAAAATTTCGACATGGGAAAATAATGTGTATGACCTTACACATCGGAGCAACTAGAACGGCACCATCCCAAAAGCCCGGCTCCTTTTTGTGGATCAAAAGAGCTACTGCCCCTCCCATTGACTCGCCGTACAAGAATTTCTTCTTTCCACTGTATTCTTCTTCTGCTGGAATTATTCGAGAAAAATCAACGCTGGGTGAAACTTGTTGAACTAATAAAGACATTCTCCGAGTGTCGATGACACATTTAAAGTATGATCAAACTTCATGACTTGGAGAGAAGAAAACAGGAAACTCTAAATTTGAGAAAAGTTTGCTGCTTTAGATTTATCGGTACCATGAAAAGGATGTTGAAATTGAAGAAGAGCGGCTCAAGTAAATATTTTATGGCACTTTACCACAAACTGATTTGAAATATTCATTGCAATCATTAACGATGTTGTCGAATCTCTTGATGTAACAACGAGAGCCCTGTGATCGTCCGTGACCTTCATAATCAATTCCAAACACGGCATAGCCATGACTTGCTAGCTTCACTCCAACGCCTAATCAAGAAAAAAAAAAAAAAGTTATACATTAACAACACCCGAATTATGTCTTTTAATTTAATCTATCTCATTCGCTAGAAGGCTACATTTGTATGCTCGTTAAAATCTCCATCAACAAAAAAACCGGCCAGATATGTTTGACAAGGCCGACCATAGTAACGAATCCTCGATTTTAGAACACATAATTTTGATCAGCCTTACACATGGAATCGTACATATAACCCGTTCTCCAAATGTGTAAGAAGTTTCTCTAATTATAATTTTGACATTTACAAATTTACGATCACACCCATTTAAATCAATGTTCTACTAATTCGCCTTACACTATCATTCGTATCTTGTTTATGGCAAGAAACAGTGACAGTTGAGGCCTACAATTAATTGATTTTCTACCCAATCAACTTAATAAAGACACCAAACTAGTTTTTCAAATGCTTGAAAGAAGCAAACATCTATAATTCCTATTTACCCGAACAATTATATCGGCCGAGATCATCAACATAGCTAACAAAATACCCATATTTCCCGACTTGAAACCGATAAACACTTTTATATGGGAAAATGCTACCATCTCGTTACGGAATGGTTCTGTTGTATTTTTTAACCGTAGATTACCTACACATTACTAGATTACATGTATATCTACGGCTATAAAAGACAACAGAACCATCCCGTTTTCCCATATAAAAGGCCACAAGCTTCTCTTGTTTGCACAAACCAAAACAAGTCAATGGTACAAAAAAACATTGATGACTTACAAATACCTAAAAAAGGGTCAAACATAAAGAGGAAAAGGGCACTCTTACCTTTCATGAAATTACTGCATTCCATGCCATAGCCTGTTCATCAAATAGCATTGCATTAGAGAAAATATAAACAAGAAAAATAAAATAAAATAAAATAATTAAAAAAAAAAAAAAAAAACAGCAAAACCAACCAACCATGACAGAGAAAAACCAGAGCTTTTGGGGAAGAAAAGGGCAACCATCTGCAGGTAAATAGCTGCACTCCCCTGGAGTTCTTTATGTGCTCCTACAAAATTGTTCATAAATCCAAAAGAAAAAAAATTAATCAAAAAAAAAAAAGAAAAAAAAATCCACACACATATATATACACTAATAAATGAGGAAAATGCTACCGTCCCGTTACGAAACTATTCATTCGAGATTTGTAACTGTTAGATCATCGTGGATAGTTTGATCTAACGTAACCCGACAGAATAGTTCCGTAACGGGACACTAGAATATAGGGGAACGAAAAATTGAATATCATTATATCAACCTCGACATATTTAACATCAATAGCCATCTCCCAGTAAAAAAGTTGCAATCTTTACAACATCAAAACCTGCCCACCGCTTGAAATTAAGATGAAAAAAAAAATAAAAAATCCAGAAATTATGCAGACAAATCAAGGGCTAAGAGAGAGGAAAAGACAATCTAACAAAGCCCGTGATTTGAGAACCAAGAAGCCCGACCAGACCAGATATACGCTAGTAAAAGCCCGTGATTTGAGATTTGTGGATAGATAAGTAGTGAGATCGGCAGAAATTTCCAATTTAAAGGGGAAAAAAAAACGAATCTTTTTATGTATAAAGTAAATTAAATTATAATTATATGCTGGGATGCATGTGGGCGTGTATGTGATGAAGAAGACGATGCCCTTAGCCAGAAATTTTTATTTTATTTTATACATATATAGAGAAAAAATTTGAGGCCCATCCCAACATGAATTCTTTTAATATTTTTTGTTCGGCATCCTTATCGCGAATCTCGATATTTATACTCCACGGTGATGGTCTCCTCGTGGAACACGTGTCGGTAGCTTATTTAAGCAGGTGGGTTATACTTATATCATTGATTGATTGGATAGGAATAGGATATCCCCCCTATGTTTTGAGGGGGCAATGGCAATCCTAGTTTAGGTAAGGACTATGGATGGATTTACTCACCAACTAATAGAAGAAACAAATATACGTTGGGTTGGGACGGTTTCGGTTTGGAATCGGAATCGGAATTGGAATCGGAATCGTCGATTTATATTCGCGTTTTATGTGAGTCGGAATCGGCGTAACAAACATTAAGAGTTGGTTCGGAGTCGGCACGGCGGTTCAAGACTAGTTTGGCCTTGACTTGAGAAATGGAAATAAAATTAAATAAATATATAAAAATAATGTTAGTGCGCCTGAATCGTCGGTTTAGGTTCAGACAGGTTTTTAAAACGCATATAGCGTAATGTGTCGCGTTTTGGTATTTATACTGCGTAGCGTAAATAGCGTAGCGTGTTGCGTAAGCTATTTGAGTATATTTTTTTTTCATAGAAATATTACAAATATATTTGCATATAATAAAATTGGATGTTTGATTATAAAAATTATCATAGTATCTGAATGACTTAAAAAATAACTTTTGAGGATTATTTCTCACAAATATTTTGTAAATGTCATCATAATTTAAAATTAAAATAATAAATCGAATATACAAAAAAGTAAAAACAAAATAACGAAACTATAATGAGATAAATCATAGTATAATTTCAAGTATATGTATTTTAATTATTATTTGTTTATTTAACTACAACTTAATTTTAACCATTAGATATGAACTTCTTATTCTTTATTTAACTGTCAAATATTGAAAAATAAAAGGATTTAACAAAAATGGACCAATAAATATTGCACTATTCAACTTAAGACTATACATTTCAAACTTTTAATTTGAAATCATTATCAAAATTTTTAGTTTTTAGTTGTAAATATGACTATGATCCCTAAAATACGAGTTTTGGATTATTTAATTGTTTCAAATGTTGTTGTAGAAATAACGCAATTTAGCGCAAAATAGCGTAAGCAAGTGTGCCATTTTGACATTTTGCGCAGGTTTTTTGGGAAAAACGCTAAATATATAAGGCTACGTCGTGTTTTTCTGAGAATAAGCTATATAGCGAGCTACATAGCGAGCTATTTAAAACAATGAATTCATAACATGAATCACAGTTCAATTTTTTTTTTTTTTTTTTTAAAAAAAATAATTGGTATGAGTAAAACCATAGGCAAGTTCAAGATTTGCGGTCAAACAATTTTGACCGAGCCAATTTTGAGTTGGTTATGCGGGACGGGTCGAATAGTGACCACGTCCAAAAATAAATATGAAAGTTTAATTCATAGTTTTATATCACTAATTTAAATTGAGGGGATAATTATGTATCACATCATTTTTCTAAATGAATCGATAACCATAATAAACTAACGTATAATTTATTTGCGTAATTTATGAGCTTCATTATTCAAATAAGTTTGATTTGATAAGACGTAGTTTCTTAAAATGTTGCAGTTTATCTCATAAACTTTCTTATATAACTAGCTTTGCAACGAACTAGTTGACATTTTAATTTCATCCGACTTATAGGCTAATTTACCAATTTGTCATATCAATTAGTTTTCAGTCATCAATCATAAGGTACACCCATAAGCTCAAAATTCATAGTAAGCTATCAACTGTAAGAGCTTTTTAGCTAGGTTTACCGTAGTCTAGTATTTATGTTAACTTAGGTTATGCTTCCCAAAATTATATGAAAAACTAGACGATAGCTGATAAATTGTTGATAGTTTATACATAAATTTTGAGTTTATAGCTGATATAACAAAAGCTTTCGTTATATTAAATTAGCTAATAAATAAAATGAATAAAAATTTCATCAGTCTTTTTTAAAAAACTTACTAAGAAAACTTATGAGATAAATTCAAAACATATAGAAAAAATTCATTCTACCGAAACAAAATTATTTAAATATAAAAATATTTATAAGGTACTAAATAAGAAAATCTAACTCACGGTGTTTACCAAACATACACTTAGGCATTAAAATTTCAAATAAAGTTTGAATTTAATAGTTGATAATTGTTAAGCGATAGCAGAAAAGCTAACTGGTAGTTGATAAGTGTTTTTCCAACTTATAACTGATAGCTAAAAAACTGTTTTATGCAATAAGAATATTTGGTAAAATTGATTGGTTAGCCATCTGAATTGAAAATTAATTAATTTTTAAAAGCTACATAAAAATTATTATGAGATAAAATCTGTCTTTTCAAAATATACTAGTATCTTCACCCGTGCGATGCACGGAACATATTTATTAAAATATTTTAATAAATACATTAAAATATATAGATATATATATATATATCAAAAAAAGTAAATGACAAATAAATAACATTATTATTGAATAGATAGTAAAAGTACAATATTATATGGTATTACAAATTATGAAAAACTTCTTGATAGACAACATTTTTAGTAGTTTTCTTTTCCCCATTGTCGTCCCCCCACATATTAATATCTTAAATCTTGTGGATTAGTGACTCGAGACACATCAACGTATAATTGACCATGACTAATAAACACCAGTCTTTTCATGTAAAGTCCGACATGGAATAACGACTGCTCTTAACTCTTGTTGATTGTCATTGCGTAAGAAAACATAAGAGTAAATTGTCTACGTTGGAACTTGAAGGGTATCATGAGATCAGATGGAGTTAGGGAAAGTCTTGATACCAATACCTTATGTCCACCATTTGATCCTGTTAGAATCTTACATTCAAACACGTGAGTGAAAAGTTTCGTTATCACCAAGCGTGTTCCATTACACAGTCCAACTGAATGATCAATGTTTCTCAACAACATGACAGGAGTCCCAACCTTTAAGTGCAATTCATGATTTAGAAAACCAGAACATTTTATACTATTTAAGAACTCCAGAGTGTGCAGGTCATGCAAGAAATCAACACCACCATCGGATTTGAATATGAGAGAACAAAATAACGACACAGATTTTGAATATGAGATTTATAGCGTGAATTACTCATATTCTGTACTCAAGTATCTTGGTAACTTTGGGTGTATTTTGTTAAGCATTCACCAATAATAATGCTCAATAAAAATTGACATTAATATAATTCAAGTATTTTGTTAAGCATTCACCGACAAAATTTCAAAAATGATACATTAAATAGGCATTGTCAACAAAACAAATATTTTGTTGTCCCTCACGGAAAGAAAATATTTAGTTGACAATTTGGTCGGAAAGATACATTAATCACTCAACCTGGATAAATAACTGACGTGGCCGGATTAGATAATGACGTGACATTATAAATTTCCTTTATTTCCTACGTGGCGTGATGTGTCATCCTTCTCTCTAAGTACACAACTACGCATAGATAAATAAAAATAAAAATAATCCAAAAATAAATAAATAAACAAATAATAAAAACACATCATAAAAAATAAAATAATAATAATAATAAACAGAAAAATAAAATAAAATCTAAAAATAAAAAAATAAAAATAAATAGAAAAAAATATATTTCGTTCTATTTTGTCAGCTATATATTAATAAAATATTCAAAAAATTAATATTTTGTTAATATATATTAAAAAATAAAAAAATATTTCGTTAATATTACGTTTAATATAAATATATTTCACTAATATATATTAAAAAATACTAAAAAAAGAAAAATGAAATTCATTAATAATAATAATTATATATAATTTATTATACTAAAAAATAATACTTTACATAATATTTTATTTATTTAATATATATAAGTATATTAAATATAAATATAAATTTATATTTAAATAAATTTAAAAATATTATTTAGATATATATTTTTGAAATAAATTAAAATATATTTTTTAATATAAGTTTATATTTTGTGAATTATATTTAATACTTATATATATTAAGTAAATAAAATTTTATGTAAACTACTATATTAGATAATATAATTAAAAATAAATTATATATAATTATTATTATTAACAAAATATTTATGTATATATTAGCGAATATATTTATATTTAACGAAATATTAACAACGTATTTTTATTTTTTTAATAATTTTTAATATATATTAATGAATTATAAGTTTTAGAATATTTTATTAATATATAGTTTAGGAAATAGAACGAAATATATTTTTATGGGTTTGGATTTTTTTTAATTTTTCTATTTTTTTACTTTTAGTATTATTATAATTATTTTTATTTTTTTGCTGATGTGTCTTTATATTTATTTAGTTTTGGATTATTTTTATTTTATTTTTATTTATCTATGTGTAGTTGTGTATTTGGAGATAATGATGTCACATCACGCCAAAGAAACTAAAGAAAGTTATAATGTCACGTCACTACCTCATTCGACCATGCCAGCTTTTTTATCCAGGTGGGGTGATTAATATATCTTTTACGACAAAATCGCCAACTACATGTTTCTTTTCCGCGAGGAACAACAAAATATCTATT